TGGGCAGGAAAAATAATAAATTTCAAGAAAAATTCATAAAGGAATCACAGACTAATGTTAATCTTGCAAGAACTATTCATTGGATAGCTTGGGGTCAAAATTTTTCTTTTATATCATCTTCTAAATTTTATAATGCACCCTTATTGAATAACTGCTCTCCTCACCCCAGTATCAGTTATTAAAGTCTGTTCTTTTCCTGCTAATTTCAATGCCAATTCTGTTATAAATGAAATTTACTTATATATGTAGGCTTTGTTTATTAATTTTTCCCTCTGGAAAAAAATTCCATTGTATTACACATTTTTAGATTTCAGTGTAAGTTTTTTCTTCTGTTCCCTTAATCTATTTGTCTCCCCCTGTGGTCATATCACCCACCTTAACTTTTATAGTTTTATTATGATTTTTGATGTCTCAAAAAGAAAGCTTCCTCACTTTGTTTTTTTTCTTTAGGAGTATCTCTCAATTTAGAAGTAGAATGAACATGGCGTAACTCTCTCTTTAGAGTGTCTTATTGTCTTTCAATAAAGTTTTAATTTTTCACAAATAGCATATGTACATTTTGTTAGGATTATTACTAGGCACCTAATATTTTTTATTTCATTGCAACCATTATCTTTTGGAAAATATGTTTTCTAACATTAATTATTGGTGTGTAGTAAATTACTAATTTTCTATGTTGATTTTGTATTCAACACAGCTGCATGACTATCTAATTTATTCCAATAAATTATATCTAGATTGTATTGAGTTTTCTACATAGTCAGTCTTATCATCTGTGACTAATAATAGTTCTTTTTTCCATCTATTTTACTTATTTAATACACACAGATAGTATTTACCATCTCAGGCACTGTTTTAAGCACTTACAAATATTAACTAATTTTACTTTAATAACCTTCTATGAGATAGGTATTATTATTTCCATTTTATAGGTTGGAAACTAAAGCACACAGAGAATAAAATACTTAGCTAATAAGCTTAGTTATTAAGCTTGTTCATTGTTCATTACTTAGTTTGTAAGCAATAGAGAAATCATTTAAGCCAGGCACTCTGGTCCAAAATCTATAATCTTAAATGTTACATCATGTGGCCTTTCTTATATCTTTTTTTTTTTTCTTTTTCTTCCTTTACTACACTCGCGAAGACCTACATTATGCCAAACAGAACTGGCTATAACAGATATCCTTGTGTATTATATAATCTTAAAGCCAACCCTTTCACCATTCCTTTGCTAAATACTAGGTTTTGCAGATTACTGTTTGTCAGATTGATGTAATTCCCTTCTCTTTCTACTTTTGCTAAATAGCTTTCTTTTCTTAAAAAAAAATTTGAATAATTGTTTAATTCATTGAAGGCTTTTGTTTCATCTATTAAGATAATCATGTTTTTTTCCCCACTTGTCTTTTAGGTGGGTAAACTAAATAATATGATTTTTTCCCTAAAGTTTAATCAATCTCCCCCTAGAAAGAGTTCAATCTTTTCACACAGTGCTAGATTTCAATGTTCCAATATTTTGTTTGGAAACTTTGAATTTAAAAAATAGAATTTAAAAAGTATTGAAGGATTGATATTTTTCAAGTTATCTTTTTTAAAATTCCTTTTGAATTTCATAGTGATAAGAGAATATGGTGTGTACGACACGAATTCTTTAATATATACTGATGTTTTAAACTTGCATTGTGGCAAAATGTGTTCACTTTTCACAAGTATTCTCTGTGTACTTCAAAAAATGCCAGTTTGCAAAGCCAAATAAAATAATGGAGTCAGACAATGGTCATCATATCATGAAAGAAACCATTAGGAGAAAGGTAGATGGAGAATTTCTCTCTTCTGTTCTTTTCTTTTCTTTTCTTTTCCTTTCCTTCTCTTCTTTCCTCTCCTCTCCTCCTCTCCTCTCCTCTCCTCTCCTCTCCTTCTTCTCCTCTCCTCTCCTCTCTCTCCTCTCCTCTCCTCTCCTTCCTCCTCTCTCTCCTCTCTCTCCCCTCCTTCCTTCCCTCCTCTCTCTCCTCTCCTCTCCTCTCCTCTCCTCCCCTCCCCTCCTCCCTCCTCTCCTCTCCTCTCTCCCTCTTCTCCTCCCTCTCCTCTTCTCTTTTCTTCTCCTCTTCTCTTTTCTTCTTCTCTTCCTCCTCCACTCTCTCTCTCTTTCTTCTCTCTCTCTCACCCTCTTCCCCTCTCTCTCTCCCTCTTCCTCTCTCTCTCTCACTCTGATCCTCCCACCTCAGCCGGGAACACAGGGCTTGCCCAGCTTGATGGACAATTTAGAATGGAGGTACCAGGCAAACCCCAAATAAACTGAAAGATCAGTCTGTATTAGTAACAGAGAGACAACCAGATTTCGTGTAATCTGATTGTGATGGGATAGTAGGCACTCCCTCCATCCCCACTCCCAAATCGAAAGGGAATTTGATTAATCCTTTAGAGTTAAATCCATTTACAGAGAATATTCGAGATAATAAAACCAAGTGAATTAACACCACAATCAACCAATCAGACACATCCAGAATGTGAGGCAATTTTTAGAAAGGACTCAGTTTCTTCAATTAGTCAATGGTCTGAAGAAAAGAAGGAAGGTGGTAATGGGGAAGGACAACTGTTTGGATCTTATTTCCAATAAACTGAGGGTAAAACACATGTTTAAACAACCAAGATCATTTTAATATAGTGTGGAATGGATTGTGGATGATACCAAGCCATCATTCATAATTTTATCAGGCATAATTTTGGTTATGGTATGTACAAACAAGTCCATGACTTTTAGGGATTCTTGCAGAATTATGTAGAGGTATGCTTTACAGTTTGAAAAAAAAAGAAAAGAAGAGCATGAAAGTTATTCTATATATGTTCATCATATCAAGCTTGTAAAATGTCTTTCAAATCCACATATTTACTGATTTTTGTCAGTTAGTAACAGGTATTGTTAAAATGTTTTAATTTGGTAATGAATATATTTATTATATCTGCCTTAATTTTTGCTTTTTATATTTTAGAGGATAAGATTTTGCTTCATATGTTTTAGGAAACTAAATTTAAAAATTTTACATTTTCCATGTGAATTGAATCATTTCTCATTACTCAGTCACTTTTCAAAATCTCAATAATCCTTTTTAGCTTTATGTTTGTATCATATTAGTCAAGCTATAATAACATCTTTTTTTCTGTTTTTGGATAGTATTTGATGAAATACGTTTTCGATCCTTTACATTCAACCTATTAACATTTTTATGTGTGTGTTAATATGTCTATTTGTCTTTCTCTGGATTATTTAGTCACTTACATTTATTATAATTGCTAACATATTTAGGTTTATTTCTACCTGATTCTGAGCTATAATTTGTCGCACATTTTTTTTAAATTTTTTATTTCGGCATATTATGGGGGTACAGATTTTAAGGTTTCAATGAATGCTCTTCCCCCCCCAACAAGTCTGAGTTTCCAGCATGACCATCCCCCACATGGTGTCACACATTTTCTATGTTCATTTTTGCTGCCTTTAATTTCTTTGTTTGAATTAATTGACTATGTTCTCTCATTCCATTTTTTCCTTTCCACTGAACATTATTTTATTTCTTGTAGTGATTACTCTAGGAATCTTAACATGTACACTAACTTATGAAATTCTAAATCTAATCATTATCTTCATTCTCCTTCTGAACAAATCAATGATGTTAGAACATTATAAATCTAATAATATTTTCCCTTTTTATGCACTATTGTTTTACAGATTTTTATTTTATCTTATTTTTCTCTTTTGCAAACACAATAGTGGCAATTAATGTTTTATATGGTTAATGTTTGTTTCAACTTACGATGATATTTATTACTTTCTTTGATCATCATTCTTCCTTGCATCTCAGACTTTTTACATAAAAATATCTTTATTTCATCCTCATTCTTGAAAAATCTTTGTTGAATATTGAATTCTAGGTTCATAGTTATTTTCGTTCAGTGCACTACCAGTGTTATTCTAGCCCCTTCAGCTTCTGTTACTACTAAGCCGGTTGTTAATTTAATCATCAAACTATTTGTCTTTTCTGTTTGATTTTAAGATCATCTCTTTGTCTTTGGTGATATTAAATTTTATCATTATACATTTAAATGGAATTGCTAACTTTATCCTACTTATGTTTTTTAAAATCTAAGGATGAGTATTTTTTATTAGTTAGGAAAATCTTTCAACCATTTTATCTTTAAATGTTGCTTCTTTCCTGTTTAACTAAAACTCCAAGTATATACGCTTTAGATTTTTTTCACTCTATCCTCCATAGCTATTAACAACTCTGTCATGTTTTGTATTTCCTTGCCTGACTATTCTACATTTCAAATAATTTCTTCAGAGGTAACATTCAGCTTATTAATTCTTTTCTTAATCTATGTCTAATATAATCTTAGAGGTTAATATTGGGTTTTAAATTTTAATTATTATATTTTTCTTCCATTGATCGATTTGGTTAATATTATACCTGTTGAGTCAATTTTTTACAGACTCCTCTCTCTTTCTCATTCTCATCCTCTATTTAAATGAATTAAATATGCAAAGCTTACTTAGTCCATATTCTTTTTTTGATATTTTCAATGTAGAAAGGTTCAGGATCATGCTATTTTTGCTCCTGTTTTCTACTGCTTTGTGTTTTGTAATTTTTGAGCTTGAGTTCCTATTCTTTAGAATGTTTTCTATGCAAATTTGTTGTAAGTTTGGATTGAAAGAGGTCCCTTTATGTAGAATTTGCATTTGCTCCTGCTAGGTGACCTGGAGACATTAGTGATCCAGCATCACTTTAATTAAAGGCATCGCTGGAGTCTTATTTGACTATACCCAAGTGCTGTGGACTCCATCTGCAAGCCCAGCCAGTGAAGACTTGCCTGTGATATGAATTCCCAGGAAATTTTTTCTTCTATTCAAGGTAGAAGACAAGCACTTTATCTTTCTTAGGGAAAGGTATTATTTCTATTTATATTGAGAGCTTGGCTCTTTAGGGTCCCAGATCTATGGAGAGGGTTACCTATTAGATGTCATTAGAAGTCCTTCCCTTGTGGGCACTAGTTCTCCATTCCCTGTGACCTGTGAAGATATGAAAAGGAAACTCAAGTTCACCTTGGTTGGTTCAGTGCCCTAAGAACACAAATCATACTACTGTTTGGTTTGGTTCTCTGGGTTCTTTTTTTCACTTAGTTTTTGATCCCTGAGAACTCCTAACTTTCTTGCCATATCACTGATATACCTAAAAATATATATTTTTATATTTAAACCAGTATTTTTAGTTGGTTTTTGTGTTAGAGCTAATCTTAGTCAAGTTGCTAGAAAAACAGTCTCAAGAATCCTGCACCACCACTGTCTGGGTGAATAAAATAAATAACTGGAAGAAATGTCTTAAAAGCAAAGAATCATATACCTGGGTTTGTGTTAACCACACTACTCACAACTGTCAGGAAGCAATGCAGCCACACGTGGTTTCAGTGGTCAGAGCAAGTGAGTGTAAATACCATAATATTTTCAGAAGGCTCATGCAAAATTTGACTGATACCACATTAACCTAAGAGAGGACACTACAATTCACCAGATAGTTCTCAGAATGCTAATGTGGAGAGTGTCAGTGGTGACCACAGCAACAGTTGCTTAGCTGACTCAGTGAGGGAAACAGAGATTTGAGGTTGGCGTGGAGTCAAATTTAGTGGGCATCATAGCTCTGGAATGGCTATCCACAGGTCTGCCTTCTAAACTCACCTCTGCCATTAATGGTTTGTGGTAAGTGGGCAAGTTGCCTCTCCTCTCTGGGCTTAATTTTACTTATCTGTGAAGCGAAGACGCTGATAACATGTGAGGCATAAATCTGTGGCCTCTCAACCCTCCATTGTCGCTTTGCATTACTTCTAAGGCCGCCCCAGGTCTTCTGGTAACACGCTCCCTTCTCCTAATGTTTAAAGGGTCATTACTTAGTGATTCTAAAATGTTTTTTAAGATAATGAAATAAGAGTCAACTAACTCAAATTTTACTGGAATAATGGAAGAAAGAAGCCCAGATGACCTCATATAAGTGTTATTTATGAATGGAGTCAAAAGATTTTCAAATGTGAGATATGTCATAAATCATATTCTTTGTGACAAATTGTTTTTCTGTGTTCAAATTCCAGGTATTTTTTTTTTAATTGTTGTTCTTCTGTTAGTCCGTCATTAGCTATATCGTAAAGCTAATGAATTTCAAGCTCTAGGGTCCCTAATATGTGGAGGCTCCTTCCAAAGACCCTTTCCTTCTCATTTTAAATATTCATTTTTATATTTAATGTTTTATTTGTAATTTTATGTATTTTAAAAAATGGTTTCTCCAAATTGTATAATTTCAGGTCCCACAAAATCTGAATTTGCTCATTCTGTCACTTTATTGAATGAAAAATTATATATTTCCTCCTCATTTGCTTTGACTTATCACTTTCATTAAGGAAAAAATTCAACAAAAACAAGATATTATTGATTCAGATGTACTCATAGAGGAACGTGTTTCAACACAGCTTTGACCTGTCAAAACCAGAGGGTGGTTTGATCATTATGCAAAAACTATTTCATGATTCATTGCCCTCCAAAGTTCAAACTTTCACTCTTCTTCAAGACTAGGTCCTTGGAAGAAATAACTGGTCACCATAGCGACTATAACATTGTGAGACTGTAAGTTGTGAGAATAGTAGTAAGAAAAAATACAAGTTATATTTTAATTTATTTTCCAATGTTGAGTGAACAATTCTACCACTGTCACATAGTATCTTATAGTTTCAAAAGCACTCATGAAGAGTCGAATTCAGAAAGGGATGATTTATTCAATTGCTTCATGGAGTTTGAAAACTAAGATAACATGAGCCATTGTTAACTTCAAATTATTCTATTCTGTTTGTATTGTTTTCACATTAAAATTAGACTCTCACATATACACATATTGACTATGGCTGGCCATTTCTAGGAATTTGGGTATTTTTGTCAAAGAAAAGCAGCCTATTTTAGGATTTTATTTTACATATTTTATTTTTATTTTGAGGGGAATCCAAATATCTACATCATGAACTTAAATTCCTATAGCTGCCAGAACTGACAGAGAATTAGCAAGGCAGAGCCAAGTTCACGCAAGACTGTCTACGGCGCTCTTATAGCTAAAGACAAACCAAAATATTGACTAGTTCTTCTCAAAACAGCATGTAGAAGTTGTGGCTGAAATAAGGCTGATGTAAGAAAGAATACAGATGGCAGTATAATCATAGGCTGGGTCTACAAGATGCCAAACAACCCATTCAAAAGTGAAAAACTCAGTCGATCAGTTGGTGGTTTTGTCTACATGCCACCAAGCAACAGGCTTGACTGATTTCTTCACAAAATTGACTGAGCTTTTGACTAGACTTGAGCAGATGTTTTATTGCTATGTATATTCAGTCCTAGTTGTCAAATCTATAACTCCAGTAAGTTCTTCTATGAATGATGAATTTCTTCCCTACATCAAAACAACCTGAGAGCATTAAACAAAGATCATCTGCACTTTTTAATTCATCTTAGAGTCTAGTTTAATACATATGCGTGGCATAGTTGAGTGTACACCAGACAAGAAATAGAGTCTCCCAACTTACATGCCTATCTTTAATATTTCACTAATTCATTTGGTATCCTTGCTACTCAAATATCCATTGAAAAATAACTAAAATTCATTTTCCTTTCTTTACTCTTTTACTCAACAATTTCCCTGGCATATACAACCTATTGGCCATCAATGTATCAAATTACTACCAAAATTTACAATGACTGCTTTTAACCTTTTCGTTGTAATTCTTTAAAAAAAAGGGTCATTTCACTAAAAGATGGATCACAAAATCCATCAAGTATTTTATGATTAAGAATGAAAACAATCTTTAAAAATGACATTGCTTTACAATGAGTTCTGCATGAGCCCAGATCTCCAGCCTTTGGCCTCTCTGTTGTGTCCCAACACCTAGGATGGTGTGGGCCTCGATAAATTTTGATTAAATGAACGGTTACATAGATTGTTGTATACCATGCTTATCACCACTGACAAATTATGGCCTAGTAAGAAGGAACTGGGGGGAATAAACACCCAAACTCACTCCCCTCCTGTCCTACAAATGTACTGCCCATGCTTCTGTTGCCTAAACCCAACTAGAAACCAGAAGGAAAGGGAATACTTTAAGAGCTCAGAAGTGGGTGGAGAGGGGTGGTATATATGTATGCAGTAGGTACCGTGTTTCCCTGAAAATAAGACCTACCCATAAAATAAGCCCTAGCAGGATTTCTAAGCATTTGCACAATATAAGCCTTACCCCGAAAATAAGACCTAGTGATGGGTGTGGCTACGCAGCGTATGGCACAACCCGTGCATTTCGTCCCAGAGGGGTGAAGAAGATAGGCAGCAAAGAAGATGAGCAGCCCTTCTCATCTGCCCCATGAGAGCTCTATTGCTCTACATGAGAGATTGGGGCCAATGATTCTAAAGGAAATAGAGTCGCAAGAAATTCAGGATGGAATTTGGGGTTTGGAGAGTTATGATGATGTTCCGGAAGAAGACGACTTAACTATATTTTAATAAATGTAGATTGTTGTACCGTACTTAAAAAAATAACACATCCCCTGATAATAAGCCCTAGGGTGTCTTCTTGAGGAAAAACAAATATAAGACCATGTCTTATTTTCGGGGAAACACTGTAGGTAGATGGATGGATAGGTAGCTAGCTAGATGAAAATGCTCAGAACTGTGGAGTCAGGATAGTTGATTTTTTCCCAAATCCCTTGAAGGTGTGCCCAGTAATCTTTATGTTTCTTTCCAACTACATAATCTTTGATATGGACTATTACATGAATGTCTTGAAACACCACTTACCTTTTAAAAAATCTAAAACTTCTATTTAATTAAAAAAATATGTTTTTTTGACAAGCTAGAAAATACACAAATAAAAAGGGTAAGTAAGAAGCACACTCGTTTTCATAAATGAGGCTTCCAGGAGCCAACAGAATTTTTTTTTCTTTTCTCAGCCACCATAAGGTAGTCATCAGGAAGGAATATGGTTTTCTGGTTCCATCTCTAATCACTTCCCTTCTTTCTGATTTTTGTCCATCTTCCATTCACTATCTTTTATATGCTGTCAGTTCTCTTCAAGAACAAACAACAGGCAGGAGCCTGAATGGGGAACAAGCAAAGGACTCCACTCTGGGAAGGTGTCTCTGGAAATGTTTACTGCATCAGTATTAAAATCTTCCGAAGAAAAAAGCATTTGCGCGCCTTCTGAGACCACAGCATCAATTGCCTTTATTCCAAGTTACCTGTGACATGCTTTAGGGTAGAGTCTCTACGTGCCTAATACACAGGTTCTTTGCAATGTTAACAGTGGGCTGATGTAAAAATTTGACTTTTATCTATATAAATTTCTATATTTCATTATGTTTTCAGCTAAGCAGTGGATGGAGTCTGACTTAGCCCAGGGACCTCTGTCCTTTCCTGTTTGTGGGATTTTTTTTTTTTTTTTTTACCTTCACTTCAAAACCAGAAAAAGAGAAACTTTCTAAACTTACTCAAAAGATGTGGAAACTATTTCTTCAAAGCTCTGAATTTCCTGGGCCTGACTTTAAAATAAAACCCACCAAAAACAGGAGGAATTGAAAGGATTAGGGAAAGAAAAATCATAAAGCATTGATTTTCAGGTTGGATAAGAAATTCTGTTTGGTTAAAAAGAACCATAGCCACTCTCCACCACCTGCATGCATAGCTTTCCTTTTAAAGCATGAATGTTTGCTCTGACCATTAAAGAAGACAGATGTAAACACACGTTCCCTAAGAGCCAGGTTCTTCTTTTATATATTATGTTAATAGTATACACAGCCTGCTAATATAAAGAAAAACTCTTACAACTTTCCTGAAATCACCTGTCTGAATACCATGGTAAAACAAAATACTAAAGGTCCTGAAAAATAAAACATTAGGTCCCGTTACAACTATCTTATTTATCTAATTTGTTAAAACCTTGTTTTTGTGAAAAAAACAAACAAACAAACACAAGTTTTTAAACCAGTGATCCCACAAATTATTTTCTTTGCTTAATGTGATGAGGACCCAACCGAGCTGCCTTAAAATCAAATGGGGGCAGTTTTTTTCATTTATTTTTTCCAGGACTTTTACCCACTCTCCTCCCCACCCCCATCCCAGAATAAATTGTCAATAGATGCTGAATGTTTCTACTGATTAATTCAGGATGCCAACTACTGTATGATTCACAGACGGCAAAAGAAATGCCAATGCTTTCCTGACACAAGGACACATTATTCTTTTGCCTTCTGTGAATCATACACAGTTGGCATCCTGAAATGAAAAAAACTATATGGCTCCCTCACAACTGTTAGGCAATTTTTGCAGAGAAAAGAGAAGCCTTTACACCTGACATGGAGTGAACGGCCAACTTTAGAGAGCTGTAATTGGCACATTCATAACCCTTTTTCCTGTTAATATTAGGCTAGAACTTACTTAGTAATCCTTTACTACTTGAGAAACTAGATGAAGATTTCGTTTCAACCAAAGAATGAACTAGGGTTCCAATGATTTTAAGTGCTGACAAGACAATCTCTCTTAGGTGTATCATGTATCATGAATATTTTGGCTCTGTTGATACACATAAACAAATAGGGAATTGAAGTAATTAGCCTTAAAAGTCAAGGAAATAAAAAAGCAAAATGTCTTAACATCCATTACAGGAATGTAGATGGTTTGTTTGATTTTGTTGGTACATTTGTTTTGCATTTTATTGGACTCTTTTATTTGGATAATTGCCTTCATTCACCACTTTACACGCCTAGACAGATAATTAGTTAATAAGCTTATATTAAGCACCTACTCTGTGTCAGATTTGGAATTATGAGTAAGGATCCTATTAACTTCAAGATTTGCAAAGGTGCCAAACAACCACATTTCAACAGGAAGAGAGCAAGTTTTACTAAAAAGATTGGACAGCCATAGCACTTACTGATTTTTTTTTTTAATTTAAAAAAAGGAAGCTCTTATCTCATGGTGCAATCATCCTCATTCCAAACTCAAATGTATTGAAGAGGGTGGATGAACAGGTCGGGCGTGGGACCACATGGGAATTTTGGAAGCCATTTAAAACCATGAGCATGCTCATGTCCCTTGGTGTTCACAGCCTTCTGATGTAGACTCCTTGAGGGCTCCTTGAAGAATGAATGCTTTATCAAAATCTCTTCACTGGGAGCCTAACCATGCAGAGAGTCCAAGGACACTCTCCCTCACCTTCTGAGACCTTGGGGAACCCTGTGGGCTTCTTCCAAATTCTTATACTTTTTCTCAGCTTTGGAGGGGAGTCAACATCAGGGAAGAAACCAGGAAGGGAAGAATCCAGATTACCACTGGATAAGGAGAAATCCATGCTCAGTCCCGGATCTTATTCAAGTAGTCTTTCCCCGTGGAAGAGAAATGCTGTGTGATGAATAAAAAGGAACACCAAGCTCTGGTCCCTGATGATAGGACTAGTATCACATAAACAGAAGTAGCCTTCAAACCTTACAGTTTCTCCAACACTAGCCCATGCTTGCTTCAGTTTTCACTACTTTGGAGACCATCTGTATCAAAGTATAATAAGAAGGCAATTCAAGAGAATGATTAGTTTAAAATAGGTGGAGGAGAAAGAAAAAGGAAAAACACCAGGTCTGGAGAGGGGGCTGGGCTGGGCATTGGGTCACACAGTGTATTCATTATTTGTCCGCATTACCATGTTATGTCTTAATTACTCTGGTCTGGCTTCCCACCCGGGTCACTATGTCACAGCTGGTTTTCTGCCCATCTCTAATTAATAAAACCTCATTTAGTATCCACGTTTATTGTAATAAACCTCTACTGAGGGATATAGCAGAAAGAAAGAGACAAAAACCAAACCAGAAATTATCACAGTTGCCCTAACAGTAACCTTGCACCACAAAGGGCCTGAGTTCAGGCCTTCTCGGGGTTACTTTTAACCTGGAAAGGACTTCCATTTGATTTCACTTGGAATTTTTGGCATAATTGAGTAGCTGGTCAGATTCTGCCCATGAGAAGAAAAGTGACAAAGCTTCCTAAATACTCATGCTTATATCGTTCAGAAATTTTTAATGGTTATTCACTCATGCTTTTCGTATTCACATTAATATTATTTTACAAAACAAAACCAAAAACCACCAAAAAAAAAAGCTTAATGCTTTTAAACGGCAATATAAAAAAGTAACATAATTTGTCAAATGCTCTTATTTTATTTCTGTGGCATTGATTCTCTTAATATTTTGACACATCGAATAAAGACAA